ATGAGAAGGATATGGTTAGGATAGGATATAGGTAAGTTAGAATATCTTCTTGTATACTAAATTTAGCAACTATTAGCTATAGATAAATTGTTAGATTCTTGTATGTTGACTAAGTAGGGTCTTCTTTCTGTTTATAATGTTTTGCACACAAATATAAAACTTATCTTTATGTATTTTGTATATTGATACAACTTAGGATATTTTATCATAATGCACTTTACAGTTCTACCTCTACTCAAGACATTTCAGTTACATCTCTGTCATTGAGATTTATATATGTATATATGTGTGTGTGTGTGTGTGCACGCGTGCACATGCACATATATATGTATATAGATGTATGTATATAGGTTGTATATAGATACATTTTTTGAAGTCATTATCCTTGCTAAATTACGTTGGGAAACTTCAGCCATTGAGCAACTACATTTCTGAGAATTACAGATTATAATTGCCCATGCTTCTTTTACCTATGAGGTTAGTCAGACATAGATATTTGATCTTCAAACACTTCAAAGTCTGCAGAACATAGCATTTAAAAGTCGAACGCTTGCACTCCCAGCCTACCCTAGTATTGTTATTTTCCTTTTTGGGTCTTTGAGGGGATTGAAGACTAGACAGTCATAGCAATATCCTCTCTTAGACAGACAAAATTTAGACTTTCTAGATTAGGACTGCTATCAGAGTAATTTCTTCCATGCCTTTACCTTGATACTGGACATGCACATTGGGCATGTAGCATATATCTATTGCTTAATGTTGCTCTTGCTGATAGTAAGAGTTTTAATTTGTGTATGTTTACCTTTCCCTTTCCTGGAGTATACTTGACATTTGTCATCATTGTACATGGTTTTTGCACGAGGCTTAAAACCTTCTTTAGACTAAAAGAGGAAATGTAGGCATCTTGTCTGTGGACCTGAAACAGCAGCCATACCCCTTTGGGTGTGGCTTCAGGCAGACAGATGCAGAAAGAGAGGAGCTTGAGGCATGGCTTCCCTTTGCGCACTCTTCTGGTGGGTCAGAGGATCAGGTAGGAAGAGCAGGAAAATGCTCTGGCAGTTCATTGTATTTTTCTGCATAATTGTTCCCAGTAAACACCATTTATCATTTATCTTGGGTCTAGTGATATAGTTACATACTCGCCTTCATTAGTGTATCACACTTACTATCCTATTTCCTCCAGGTGTCACTCACACACAAATGCATAATAGACACAACATGCAGGCACAAGTCTTATCCTTATGTATGTCTGTGTTGTTTCAAAAATGAGTTACCATGATATTAGAAAAGAAATCTTAAAAATATTCTCATTCCTGAATTATTTCTTTAATATCTTCAAATGATATGTCGCCATGTGACCTCCTGGATGCCATCCTAAAGATAAGTCCTTATAAAAATATATATTAGTAATTATGGGTTAATAATTAAGTCAGAGTTAGCAGATAAGGAACCATAGAAAGTGGTCAACAGTTTCATAATTAATATAGTGTCTTGTGTGTTATTTGGGGGCTAAAGTGGCAACGGGGCTCAGGTGGAAATCCCGCAACAATACCTTAGTGAAAACAATTAAGACACCCAGCCCACTTCTACTTTCTAGCATACAGAATTCTTCATGCCACTAAGAGAGAACAGAAAATAGACAGGCAGCCTGATTTCCCAATTCTTAAAGTCCTAGGTTTTCATATTGAAGAAAGGATGTGGGAATTAAACCAAACCCTCCAGGAACTATAAGTTCTGCTTGGGTTTGGTGTTTTCACTTGTATAGTATCTCTGTGAAGAGACACCTTTTGTAAACACTTAGGAACACAGAGCACTGACAGACTTAACAATTTGTCACAATGTTAGAAGTAAGCAAAGTACCACCATGTTCAATAAATTTGACTTCTGTGTTTTCTTAAAAACATATCTCAAATATTAAAAATTAGGAATAGTGCCTTATTTTGCAACACACATTTGGACTATGAAAAGGCTATTAGGATTTTAAACAGGGAATTACATACAGAGTAATAAAGGTCTTTAGACCTCTGTCTCCATGAATCCCAGTACTAAGAGTGGCACTTCACAACTAAGTCAATAGATCTGTACAGGAAACATAAGGCTCAAAGACCTTATGCTAAGTGCGATACTTCTCTGTTTCTAGAGTACTAAATATGGTTTTAGGTTTGTGTTTTTCACTACCCTCCTTTTTTTAAGTAGATTCTATAACTACAGTCCCAATGTTTTCCTTATGAATAATCATGTCAGCTGTCACTCCATTATTACTCTCAACATTTAGTCTAAGTTATATTCAGCAGCTTGGCTTAATTTGGATGGTTTGGGTTTTTTTTAATTTTCTTTCAAGTTCTTAGCTGAATTTAAAAGTCAGATTTTTTTCATGAAGAGTTAAGTTAATGGAAAATGGAGGCAGAGATTAAATCAGGGGGAATCACTGATCAAGGGTGCTTGGAATTCTTATGAATACAAATAACCCATCAAGGTTAATGAGGTTCAACCTGAGTTTAGAGGAAGGGGAAATGCTCGTATTTTCATGCATTTACAGACTGAAGATCTTAGGTAGGATGTGAAGCAAAGATTACACAAACTCAAACACAGCTTCCCTTTAAGAGACATTTTAACTGTCATCTCCCAACATAAAACAATTGCTTCAAATACCTATGCTCAATACAAAAGATAATGCAATGGTTGGACAAAGCAAAGACTGACAGCTCTTATAGAAACCAATGTGCTTTCAAGAACTGGCTCTGAACACTTGCTGTATAAACTTGAGTTCAGATCCCCAGTACCCATGTAAAAAGCTAGAAACAAGACCACTAGAGCTTGCTGAACTCTAGTCCAGCTCCAAGTTCAGTGACCCTTTCTCAAGAGAATAAAGGGAAAAGTGATAAAACAAGATACTTGATGTCGTCTACTAGCCTGGACACACATACCTACATATACACATATGCGTATCATAAGCACACACACACACACACACACACACACACACATACACACACACCAAAAACACTGATTCACAAACATATAAACAAGTATATACACCACACAGGTACACAAGCACACATGCACATGCACACAAGCAACTAAAGGAAATTAATTTCTATTTGGTTACAAAGTACATAGGCAACAATAGCCCAACAATCCCAAATGCCCAGAAACTAAATGACATTTGACTATATTTCAGATGTAGTCTCACCTGTCAGCAGCTACAACTCAGAGATCTATTACCTCTACTTCTCAAAAAGTCAATACTAGATATCACTGTGAGAATAGAACCACAAAATAAGAAAACAAACAAGGCATAATCAGAAGTATTGCTAAATCCAAAACAACTGAGAGACATTTAACTCATTTTATTGTTAAAAGTTAAGAAAATCTTATAATCCCAGCACTTAGACTGCTAAGGCAGGAATTTGAGGCCAGCCTGGGCTATGCAGTGAATCTACTACGGCCACTCTAGGTTACCAAGACAGATCATGTTTCAAAAGGAGGGGGGGAGTAGAAGAGCAGAAGAGCAGGGAGATGGAAAGTAGAACTATATTTCCTAGACATGAATACTACCTCTTTGCAATGTCTTCTTAAAGGTGATGGGACACACACACACACACACGGACACACGGACACACGGACACGACACTGTTGAGGAATACTGGTGTGTAAATGTAAGCCTCTCTCCAATTGCTTTGCAAACCAAACCCAGTCCTAACCTAAATGAAAATCATTCCCAGGGATTATTATTAAATGAGAAACAAAGTCAGGCTCCTTGAGACCACTATTAAACTACTATAAACCATTTTTAAATGTCCATAGACTTCCGGACTTCCTCCCAAATCATATAACAAGAAATAAAAGAAGGAACTGGGGGAAAGGAGAGAAGAGAAAAAGAACAAGCTGAGGTTAAAACTGCAGCAGTAATTTGTTGTGTTTCGCCTTTGATATTTGTTGTTTTGTTTTAGCTCGACTTAACTTCTGCTAAATAACCCTATTTTGGCACCTTCATCAGCAGGACCAGGGGCCACACCCGTGAAGCAAATTTTAGAAGCCACATTGTTGCACTGGAGCTATTTCTGGTGTTTATTAGCCATCTAGAAAGCTGAAGAACGAGTATGCCCATATTTCTTTATCTTTGCTATCTCCATTATCTAAATCTTGAATGAACTCTAAAAGGCATGTTTAGTGACATGCTGACAAGATAAAAGAGGAACTCAGACTGAAGAAGTATCAGTACTTCCTTGGGGTTATATAAAGTTAGGAGCTGTGAGCATCAATTTTCTACCTATCATTTTAATTACGGAAACTCTTCAAATGCGGCAACTTATTAGAAGACAACTGTTCTGACAAACAGATGCAAGGGGAAGAGCTGATGCATATCTCTTTCCAAATGTGCCGTCTATGTTTGATCTCATTTGCATAATTAGAATTAGAATTAAGTTATTTCCTTTCATGAAGTCCTTTTCTTTGATTTCTAATATATTCTGATAATTACCTCATCTATGCTAGTTAAAAGGCACCCAGGAAATGGCAGCTGCCTGCTTTTGCTTCAGTCATGGTTACCCATGAGCATCCCAGAACTCCAGGTCCTGGAGGCCTCACAGCACTACCTCAGGTGAACAGCTATGGGAACCTGAAGTGTTCCAAAGAAGAGACATCACTGGGTTCCTCTCACTCTGCCATCCATCACATTCATCCCAAAATAAATCACTGCTACCTCAGAGAAGAAAACTCTTCCTCTGGGCAGGACCAAAAGCGACTTCAAGTTTAAGAAGAGAAAAGGCTTTTGCTATGAAATAATGAAGGAAACTAAGAAAAGACCTGATTTTGGAGACCCAAAAGAAAAAATTCAAGCCCTAAGGGAGTGCTATAGTCAGGTAGTGGTAGCTTCATTTTATATTATTCACCTCCAAAACTACCTCTCAAAATAATACGACTTCTGATTGAAATTTGTTTGAGCAATTCTGGTAAACAAAACTGTCTTTCAACAGAGATTTAATGTAACACATCACCTCCATTTGTGCCACCAGACTCGCTTTCTCCCGCTCTTTCCGCTCCATGCACCGCTTCGCTTCCTCCAGCTCGGAAGCCATGGCGTTCAAGTCCAGGTGCACTCGCAGGTCTGCCATCTGCTGCTCCACACTCTGCTTCTCCCTCTCTACCCCTGCCGAGGTCAAGGTAAAGCCTTGGTTACTCTCTGTTCACAGGAGAATGCACTGGCCAGCGCTCACTGTTGAGCCTTTGTGTCTTAAGGTCCCAGCTAACATAATCCACAGCAGGCATTGCAAATTTCTCCAATCTGTCATCTCAAGCGTCAGGGTCCCCATACATCCATAAGCACCACAGTATCATGCCCCGATCAGCTAAATTCAAAGTACAGTATCAATCAAGATCAAGTACAGTATCAAGTCTTACAGAGTTTTCAAAACTTCATAGGCAGTTACGCCATCCTATTTGATGGCATAGTAATATTCTCAGTGTTTCCTAATTTCTAATACAATTTATTGCAGGAAACCCCTATACCTTTTGTTTACTACATTCCTTGCATGTTTACATCATGTGCGAACTTTAAATCAAAAACACAGAATTCAACTAGCCTACAATACACTGTTGCTATTGAGGGTTACACAGTGAAATGTTGGTCATACATATGAACAACAGATGATTTGCCCCACTCTCTGTAAGACTGACTGCTGTTTCACTACGTCTCCAGAATTCTAAAGGCTATGCTTGAAATTATAACACTGAACAATATAGATTAATTATTTAATTCAACACAAAATGCTTGATCAATTAGACATAGGACATTTTATCATGCTAGTTATATATGAAGATGGCTAACATAAAAATCCACTGACAAGAAACAAAACAATACAAAGAATCAATAAGACAAAGAGTTGGCTCTTTGAGAAAACCAACAAGATAGATAAACCTTTATCTAAACTAATATACATATTAACAAAATCAGAAATTAAATGGAGGACACAACAACAGGCACTGAGGAAATTCAAAGAATCATCAGGTCAGACTTAAAAAAAACCTGTACTCTACAAAATTAGAAAATTTAAAGGAAAAGGACAATTTTCTGGATAATTACCACATAAAACACATAAAATAGACCTGTAATCTATAATTTCAACCAAAAAGTGAAAGACCTGTATGACAAGAACTTTAAGTCCTTGATGAAGGAGAATGAAGAAGCCAACAGAAAATGGGAAGCTATCCCATGCTCTCGGATAGGTAGGATAAACACAATAAAAACAGCAATTTTACCAAAAATAATCTATAGATTCAATGTAATAGCCATCAAAATCCCAGAAAAATGTTTCACAGACTTCAAAAGGATAATACTCAGCTCCATATGAAACCAAAAAAAAACCACAATAGCCAAACAATCCTGCACAATAAAGGAACTTCTGGAGGCATCACCAAAACTGACTTCAAATCTACTACAGAGCTACAATAATGAAAACATCTTGGTATTGACATAAAATCAGACAGGTGAATCAATAGAATCAAATTGAAGACCTGGCTATCAATCCACATACCTGTGAACACTTTATTTTTGACAAAGAAGCTAAAATTATAAAATGGAAATAAGAAAACATCTTTAACAAATGGTGTAACTGAATGTTGACATGTAGAAAAATGCAACTAGATCCCTATCTATCCCCATGCACAAAACTCAACAAATGGATCAAAGACCTCAACAGAAAACCAACTACACTGAACTAATGGGGGATAACCTTCTGTATGCTGAGAATATATGTTTCTTTTATTGATTGATAAATAAAGCTTTTTGGCCAATGTACAGGCAGGATGTAGCCAGGCAGAAAGTATAGGTAGGGCTACCAGACTAGGAGAAGGCTGGGAAGAGGAAAACAGAAAGTGAGTTGCCAGAGAGATGTCATGTAGCTGCTGAAAAAGGAAGAGGCTTGGGCATCACCAGTAAGCCTCTTGCATGTGGAGATTCACAGATTAATAGAAATGGGTTAATAATTAAAAGAGAGATAGCCAATAAGAAACCTGCGCCATCAGACAGTTAAAAATTAATATAAGCCTCTGTGTGTATACTTGGAACTAAACGGCTACAGGACCCAGCAAGACAGAAACTTCCATCCACACTGAACCTCGTAGAAGAGAAAGTGGGAAGTAGCCATGAACACACTAACACAAGAGACCACTTCCTAAATATAACACCAGTAGCATAGACACTGAAAGCAACAATTGATAAATAGACCTCCTGAAACTGAGAAGCTTCTGTAAAGCAGAGACTTCGGTCAACAAGACAAAATGGCAGCCTACAGAATGGGAAAAAATCTTTACCAACCCCATATCTGACAGAGGACTCATCTCCAAAATACTGAAGGAACTCAAGAAACTAGACATCAAAAGACCAAATAATCCAATAAAAAATATGGAATGCAGATCTAAATAGAGAACTCTCAACAGAGGAAACTCAAATGGCCAAAAGACTCCTAAAGAAATGCTCAATATCCTTAGCCATTAAAGAAATGTAAATCAAAACAACTGTTATACATCAAAAACTCTGATAACAGCTTATACTGGACAAGATGAGGAGTAAGGAGGACCCTCCTCCCTCCATTGCTGATGAGAGTGCAAACTTGTACAGCCACATTGGAAATCAGTATGGCTAAGTAACAAAGATTCCTCTGATTTCAACTATGATCTATATTGAGCCAAGCTGAGACTGCATTTCACTCTCCAATCTCCAGATTACGGCCTCTAAATAGCAATTGCTCACATATAGAAAATTAGGGAAAAAAAGATAAAATAAAGGTACATTTACAACTTAATTACAAACGTACACATGTAAGGAAGAGAAGAGAGAAAACGAAAACTTCACCACAACCTTTGGACGTTCTTTCTTAGACAATGCCCATGAGACAAGCAGATTTGACAATGGAAATGGGTTGAGGAATCAGGCAACAGAGACATTCAAATCAGATTCTAGAATATGACCAACTTGTTGGAAAACCTTGTAGATGATAAAGAAATTTGAAAAGATTAAGTATGACATGAGGAGAGCACCTCTGGGGATGGGAAGCCACATAGCCAGCATCCAGAATTATACCTCTTCTAAACCTCCAGTCGTCTCTTTGATCATCCCGCTGGCTTGGCTGTTGCTTGGAAATGTAAGACACTTGATGTTGTAAACCCTTCCGGTCACCTTCTGCTTTGGTAAGTTGCGTGCGCAGTTCTTCCACCTAAGAGCATTTCATCAAAAAATCAAACCGTTAAAATGTTTCAAGAGCAGAAAGCAAATAAACTTACAGATTACTATAAACTGTTTCCTGGGGGAAAGTATCTGACTCTAATGAGCTATTGTGGAACAAGATAAAGCCAGCTTAATCCCCAGGCTGCCCCACGCATAGTAGAAAAGGCTTCCATTCCATGTTTTCCATCTGCCATTCCTTTCACAAAGAATGTCCTTTTCTTCCCTGTGTCCATAGTGACAAAAAAACTTCAACACCTCTTACTTTTTTCCTTTGTAGTCCTAGGAATTTAACCCAAAATCTTTTTTTAGCAAAACATCTCTATTTCCAAATGATTATGACCATCTAGTTGTATCCATGGTCTGAGACAACCTTTAAGAGGCTTCCAGGTTCAACATTATTTTGTATCTTTCAGTAGCCTTGCAGAGAAAATCTGAGTTATGCAAATGGGAAGGTTACCACAGGACATTTACACAATTTATTCTCAAAATGATCCAGTACCTTACTTTCTTTTATATCCTTGCACTTTACCACTCTTTAACCTAAATCAAAGATATGTCTACCTCAAGACCCAGCTGTACCACTACTGGCATATATCCAAAGAATGCTCAATCATGCTACGAGGATGCTTGCTCAGTTATATTCATTGAATGTTGTTTGTTACAGCCAGGACCTGGAAACAACTGAAGAATGGGTAAAGAAAATGGTATATTTATACAATGCAGTATTACTCAGCTGTTAAAAACAATGGCATCAGGAAATTTGCAGGCAAACTGACAGAATTAGAAAAAGATAATCCCAAGTGAGGTAACCCACACCAAGAATGACAAACATGCTATGTACTCACTCATAAGTGGATTTTAACTGAGAGGTAAAGGATAGCCATGCCACAACCCATAGACCCAGAGAGGATAGGTAAATAGGAGAGCCCAAGTGAGGAAGGAATGCATGGATCTTCCAGGAAGGGGAAACAGAAAACCTACTGTTGGACTGGGGATGGGTGGGCATGGGAACTTGGGGGATGGGGTTGGAGGGGTATGGAGAGAGAGTGCTGAGAAAGATGACTGGAAAGGGCTTCATGGAGTGGGTAGAAACCCGATGCAAAGGAAACTTCCAGGGCCTTTTTAAGTCAAGTGTACTACTACTAAGCAACATCCTAATCATGGTTGAATGAATAAGAATGCTCCCCATAGGTGCATATATCTGAGTGCTTAAAGAGCGCCATTAGGAGATATGGCCTTGTTGAGGTAGGCATGGCCCTGTTGAAAGAAGTATGCTACTAGGGGTAGGCTTTGGGGTTTAAAAGTTCAAGCCAGGCCCACTGTCTCTCTCTTTGTGCTGACTTCTGATCTGGATGTAGAACTATCAGCTATTTCTCCAACACCATGTCTGCCCACTTGCTGCAATGCTTTCCTCCATGACAATGGATTAATCCTCTGAAACTGTAAGCAAGCCCCCATTAAACGATTTCCTTTAAAAGAGTTGCTGTGGTTGTGGTGTCTCTTCCCAACAATAAAAGAGTGACTAGCTACATTTTAACTTTTTTATTTTTTTTTTCAGACAGGCTTTTCTTACATATCCCACGTAACCTTCCTGCAGCAAGCCTTCTTCCTGCCTCAGACTCCTGAGTTCTGAGATTACAGGCATGTACTATCATGTCTGGTTCAAATACATCTGCATTTGACCTTATTAATGCCCATCACCTCTAATTTATTTTCTTAATCTTCACCTATTTTCTATCATGAAAACATGCTATGCTGGTGGTTAAACTCAAAGGAAGGGATCACGACTTAGCATATTATAATAGCAAAACAGACCTCAGAAAAGCAGTAGAACGCTGACTGACATGCAAGCTTCAGACTCACGAGCCACCTTATTCATCTTGATATGTATACAGAGAGACTAGCAAATTTCCTACCATATAACAAATACACCCCCTACAACCAAAATCAAGTAAGCAATTTGGCTAAAGTCACAATGACAACCTGCAAAGAAATCTCTTGTATCAAAAACTTCAAAAAGATTACTTAAAAATATAAGAAATCAGCACAGAATTAAATACCAGCATCCAGAAAACAAATTCTGAACTCTGCCAACATTAGTTCCTCATGACCACTGACTGTAGAACAAAGGCAATTAGCATTTGAAAGGCTCTGCAAAGCAGGTGCCATGGTACATTTTCTATATGACTGCAGAGGGACTTCTGAATGCCTCTGACACTGGACATCCTTGCCTGCAGAGTATATCATATACTTGGAATATGAACCCACATTGAACAACAGGAGGAAGCATGGTCTGATTTAGTAAACACAGAGGGAATGGCGATTCGAAACACATCTACTCTTATCCAGTATATGTAAGATGACCACCTAAAGCTACTCAAGTTTAAGTAGCGAAAGCCCCCAACTCCTACTAGGACTAATGGTCCACAAAACATTACACCTAAAAACTAAGCCTCGTTTGTGGTTAAAGGGAGCCAGTCGCATCTTGACCATAAGAGCAAAGGCAGAGATGCATTCAAATTAACTTAAACATTCAAGGTCTGTTCAGTGTATTTTCCCCTTCCTTTTCACTCTCCGATGCTTCCTTGAATGAAATTACGCTCCTGGGAAATTTTATCTTACGCATCCAGTGTACTTGTATATGGTTCTGCTGAGAGAGATAAGTAGAAAGTCAGAGCAGCAGTCAGCAAAATACATTGTCAGAGCGGAAACCGGGGCTGGCTCTGCTGTGAGCTCTCCAAGTCTTCCTGCCTGCATTCTGGGCTAACATATGTACCCTGGGGGAAATATTCTAGATCTAGACTTTTTTCTTTCCTTCTCACAAAGATATTTGAGAGAGGAGACTCCTTCCAGATTTAATAAAACAGCAGACTGTCTTAGGCTGATAGACTCACCTGCTGCAAAAGTGTTTCTCTGCTGCCTTCAGACTGATTCAGCAGCCTGCGAGAGAGCTCCAATTCCTGCTCCAGCTGGAGTTTCAACAAGATAAAAACATGTAAGAGGAGGCATAAGTAACTGTGCCCAATGAATAAAATCCACCCAGTGGGCCACAATTTAAGAAGAAAATGGCAAAATAGTTTCCAGGAGATATTCCCATTGAGTGGGAAAGGATGGGCATTTCACCATAAACACACATTTAACTTCCATTAACATTATATTAAGTATCTACCATAAAGGGAGTTGCATAAAGCCCCCTAGAGGTCAAAGACCTCATCAGTTTCATCTTGACTATGACCCAACCCTCCTACTCCCACCCCAGGTCTCAATTCATCTCTAAAATAGTCATTTTTACTTATCTCTTGAAATACCCATCCAGTTCTTAATAATTTTAATAAAACTCTGAAACAATGCTTTTTTGGACAGCTATGGTCAACTTTACTAAATTAGAACAAAAACTACAGACATCTAATAATTCAAAGTCCATTTCGCCTAGCGTGACTTCTTATATTCCCAACACCCAAAATGTGTTCCTAAATTTTTTTAATTTCAAAATTCAAAAAGTTTATATTTAAAATTTCATTAATAATTTTGCCCCATGGAAAATATGGTCAGTTAACTGAGCACCTATCCTAAAATTTCAGAATACACCTACTTAACATAAGGTGAAGGATCCAACAAAAGGGAACATAGATTGTTTTGGTTTTTCTTTCTTTATGTAGAGTTTATATGTGCTATACTTGTTTTTATCTGGAAACATAGAGCAATATAAATTTTGTACTAAGGTGCTTTTAATTGCTTAAATGTATAAGTCATTTTAAATAACCATTTCACTTAAACAAACTACCACCTTTTAATTACTGTATGAAGCGGGGCTATGCATGGCGTGGAGCTTGAAGGAGCTTTAGCACAAGGGTAGTAGGCACCTAGAGAAGATGAAAACAGCTAGAGGTATTCCCATGCACACAAACACATGGACGCTGCACTCAAAGCTAGTAAGATCTGTGGAACCCCTGTACTGGGACTACTGACAATTTCCTGGTTTGATATTCCATGGCAATTACATAAAAAGTATTATCATTGCCAAAAACAGAGTGAAAAGTACAAGAAACCTCTCTATACATTTTGTTTTGAATCTATAATTGTTTCCCAATGGACTCTGTTGTTTGTATGTGTTTGTGTGTGCATGTGTTTACACAAGTGTGTGTTTGTAGCCTTGTGAACATGTATGTTAATATCAAAAGTTAGCATCATATATCCACCACAATCACTTGCCACCTAGGTTTTTGAGACAAGGTCTCTCACTGAATCTAGAGATCTTTGTTTAGTTAGACTGGCTGATCAGCAAGCCTGCAGGATCCTCCTGCCTCTACATCTCCAGCACTGGAATTATTGGGGTGCACCATAACTTCAGAATTTTATTTAGATGTTGCACATATGAGCTTGGGCCCTTGTGTTTGTGTGACAAACACATTACTGGCCCACCTTTGCAGCTACCAAAGTAATTTTTTATCCATTTATGCAATAATTCTTTAGAAGTATTCATGTAACTAATAAAAAAAAGTAAATGTAGTACCACCAAACCCATAAAAAATATTACAATTGTTCTCTTAAGTCTATGATGAAATAAAGAAAAAAAAATCACACTTCAGTAGAAATGACTTGGAAGTCAAGCAAGCCCCCATTGGTCAAAAACCCAACCTAACATCAACAGTCAACTCCCATGGGGCAAACTCAATGACTAATACATCCTGTCTCACACAGAGGTGGTATGGAAGCAAGACGAGAGGCTACAGAGAGGTAAGGGTAAAAATGGGATACTGTGCTAACAGCAGGAACTTTCCTCCAAAGTTCCTTATCTTGTGTTTATCCTTCAAACTACTTATTTGAAAACAGAGTGGTGGTTTAGCCTCTGAATCACCTTTTAGAGCTAAGGTGCTGAAATGTATATTCACAGATGTGGTATCTATCAAAGGTCCTAAACAACTAATGAGAATGCAGGGTGGGTGTTGTGGTAAGAAATGGCCCCCATAGGCTCACAAATTTGAAGACATAGTCACCAGAGAATGAAACTATTTCAAAGGATTAGAAGGATTAGGAGGTGTGGCTCTGCTGGAGGAGAAGTGGCCTTACTGGAAGAACTGTGTTACTGGGGGTGGACTTTGAGGTTTCAAAGCCCACACCAAGCCCAATGTCATTCTCTCTGCCTATAGATCATGACTCCTGCCATGATGATAATGGACTCTCTGAACCTGTAAGCAAGCTGCTAATAAAATGCTTTCTTTCATAAAAGTTGTTTTATTCATGGTGTCTCTTTACAGCATGAGGTATTGACTGGGGGGAGAACATATTTTCAAAACTGAGCTGCTAGCCACACCTATCTATTATAAAGAAAATGAGTGCATACAAAATGTCTAGTTTTTTCAGTGTTCTCCAGAAAGGAAATAGAAAGCTTATGCACCTCTCAGAAAGGAGAGTTCCAAGATGACAAGGCAGCAAATGACCTGTGCGTGCTTTCAAGAGTGAAGGTAGAGCTATAAGCCACCTCCCAGCGTGTTCCACAAAATGAACTCAGGGACACTTTTCACAGTGCTCAACAAGTATCAGTGACCCCAGCTACCACACTGATGGAAGGATTAACTTTCAAGGTCTTACTTGGCTCTTCTCAGTTTCAGTTTGTCGCAGCTTGTTTTTCATTAGGTCCTCATTCTCATCTGCTTTAGTTTCTTGTTTCTTCAGTGCCTGCAATGAAAGCAAATGAGAAAGAACAATGTATTCTCCCAGAATATGCACAAAGCTCAAAGCTACCACTAGGATACACTGAGGAAGAGCCCACGAAAACATTGAATTGCATAAAATCTGCAAATAAAATCCAGCTTGTTCATTCATTGAAGCCCTAGCAACATTCCAATGAGGACCAAATGAAAACAACCTCCTGATCTTCCTCATCATTTCCACTACTTTCATCGTTTCTCTATCTCTGGGAATCTTACTACTCAGTTAGAGAGGATAACTCTTAACAATTATCTTGGAAACAAAGTTTACTGCACATCAAAGTCATCATATTGAAGGTTGTCTTACTGATCGGTTGTTGTGAAGAGACACCATGACCACGGCAACTCTAATAAAGGAAAGCATTTAATTGGGGCTTGCTTATAGCTTCAAAGGCTTAGTCCATTATCATAATGGCAGGGAGTATGGTGATACAGACAGCACTGGAGATGTAGCTGAGAGATACATCCTGAAACACAGGCCTAAAGAGAGAGACAATGGGCCTGGATTGGGCTTTTGAAAGCTCAAAGCACATCCCCAATGACACACTTCCCCAACAGGGCGACACCTCCTAATCTTCTTCTAATCTTTCATATAGTCCCACTCCCTGGTGACTAAGCATTCAAATAAATGAGCCTATTGGGACCATTCTTACTTAAACCACCACAAAGGGTTGCATAAGCTGCTGGATTTAGATGTAACACCATATCCTAGTCACGAGTTTCTCCGATTCTAAAGCACACCATCCACTACATAAAAACATGCCCCCTGCATCACCATTATGCAGATGACAGTTATATAAAACATGCAAGACCATCCAAACTCTACCTGGAGAAATATACCCACTCTTATCTCATTTCCCCTCTTTAATGATAGAAGCTTAAATAGAATTCTTTCAAAAGCTAACCACAAAAAAATGTTTGTCTGTGTTTGTTTCTGTGTCAGAAAGAAAATTAAACAAGGGGAAGACTTAAAACAGACTTTCATAATAGCTAAATGGCACTTAGTTCAAATAAGGAAAAAAAAGAAGTCTGACCATTTTGGCACTTAAAGGTCATATATACTGAAGAAAGGCAAACTACCTAAAGCCTTTCCCAATACAGCAGCAGTAGGAAATAAGTAAATGCAGTAAAAAAAAAATTGACACTGATGTAAATATATTTATCATAATCCATTTCATCAACCTACATATTCAAATACATCTTAAATCTACTTTCCTTTCACCAAGCACTGTTCTGGAAGCTACTAAAGTACGCAGGTGCAAAAGACACAAGATCCCACAACCCAGTAAACGAGCTCCCTCCTCTCACTAATGAGTAAAATACATCTAGGCGAAAAGGCCGAGAAGCTTTATCAAATAAGCAGTTGTTTGCTGTAATAATAAACAATTCTATGGTGACCGATATGTCTAGGAAATCTTCTTACATATGCTAAATAGGTTACATATATTTAAAGACCATATTTAATCTTTATATGCTATGCATTATTAAGCTCATTTGAGCATTAGAATATTGGGAAATATTCTGAACTAAATAATTGCCCAAGAACGCTCTCCTAGTTAGTAACAGAGGAATTGAGAGTCAAGACAGCCTGCCATTTAACCAATGAATGGCACTGCCTTTTCCATTAGGAAGCAGTATCTAACCAGGTTGCAGTGCAAAGTAGCTGATGTTCATGAAGCATATAAATTAATGCTTGACATATATGCAATAGAAGCCAAAAATCAATATTATTGACTTATTGAGAATGATGAAGTACCAAAATGTCTTTCAGGTAGCTATCAAATTATTTGCTCTTGCCAGGCGTTGGTAGCATACACCTTTAATCCCAGCACTCCGGAGGCAGAGGCAGGTGGATCTCTGTGAGCTCGAGGTCAACCTGGTCTACAGAGAGAGTTCCAGGACAGCCTCCAAACAATACTGAGAAACCCTGTCTCAAAAAATCAAAAATTTGCTCTTTATTATAGGCAAATAGAATTTATAACAATATTTAATTCTGTATATATAGCATTCAGTTTTGGGTGATGGAATGTGTTTATAAATTTTTCATGAACAAAATCTTTAAAAATCTGAAAATTTTTATTGGCACACTTATCTTTGCCGGGATTGCTTGGTCTCTTCCCCAATCCCCTCCCCCCTCTCTGGTGTGTGGGGGGGGATGTGCACACATGTTTGAGAGAGAGGGAGAGATGAAAATGTGAATTAATGTGATATAAAGTTATAACATTTTTAAATACCTTTTACTTAAAAGTAAAAATAATTTCTTCTCTATATAAAATGTATTTTTATAACCCTCCCCTTTGATTACATCCCTCCCCTCCCATACTCTTCTTCAACATCACTTCTAAACTATCTTATTCCACAACACCTTCATTAAACTTAGGTTAATTACTTGTCTTTTTGTTAATACTTCTTCACTGGATTAAAAACCTAGTTGGTTTTCAGTTGGATGCTTGCACAATGGGGATGATTAGGGAAAAGACTTCTTTGGGAAACTGACAAGTTTCCCCCAACTACAAACAGCCTCCACTTCTGGATTCAAATCCCTCCCTCTAAATGAGCCTACAGTGAAGGCTGGTCCAGGTCAGGTAAGGTCATCTGAAGCCACAACATGAAAAAACACAAAGGGAATAAACAACTCCAAACAGACAAGACTGTCCCAGAACAGGAACCATTCCCTTCCAAAGCTGAGTTCAAAATCAAGACGACACTGTAACTCTAAGGAGTGATATAGGGTGAAGTAACCTTCCAGAGATGCACAGCATCCCTGGCCTCGGCTTACAGATGCAAGAAGGAGTCATCATCAGATGCTGAGCTTCGCAAACTGGACTTAACCTCATGTTTCAACCCTGAGTTTAATTTACGTAAAAGCATAAACTCCCAAAATTTCCCCAGTAAAGAAATTTTCCAGTTTACCATCTGGAATTTATCCATTTCTTTCCTTTCCCAGGATTTCCAAAAATTAAATTTGAAAAACTGTAACATTTAAGACTAAAAAAAACAGAAAAGATATGTTAACATTTCCCAAATGTTTGCTTACTTTAGCATTTGATCAAACACACTAAAAATAGTTATATTTATATATACATATATACAAACTTAGATATATTTAAAGACATTTAAAATAATCATCCAAGATTTTATTTATTTCAAAACAATTCTCACTTATCCAGAGCTTACATTTCCAGAGAGTAGCAGAAAAGCTGTCACTTTATTAGAGTGAACTCTTCAGAAGACAAAGACCCTGTCTGTCAATCACACTGTATTTTTAAGACAGTACTTGGCACATACTAAAGCATGTTATTGGCTCCATAAATATTCCTTATACTCCCTGACATCACTTTGCAGTTGGCCAGGTAGGTCCTTTACATACCAGAAGCCTTTCCAAATTTCTCACACCTTTGACTTATTTTTAGTTGTGTGGATTTGTTTGTATCTGTGTCTGGGTATGTGCAGGTGCCAACAGAGACCAGAAGAGGACATCAGATCTCATAGAGTATAGGAGGCACTTGTCCTCATAGACAGAGAAACCAGGAATCTTAACATGCCTAGGGATGTCTCTTCAAAGAGAGAGATGTATAACCTGTTTCCTACTCAGAAGGTGAGGAATCTGTAGTTGTATGACCGGGCCACACTGGCTCCCCCAAGACCCTTGTCTTGAGCCTGTTTATCTCAGTCAATTCCCCCAGACCTTACCATATACGATGTTTACCTTGAGCCTGCTTCCTTAATCTACAGAACATATTGTTATGGAAGATGTCAATTGTACTTTACAAGACTTTCAATGTAATCATGTCTTATATTTGTTGTACACGTGGGGTTGAGTTAATTATCACCAGGAAACTTTTTTCCAAATCATGCTATACTTAAATATGCCTAAAATAAACTACCGAGTGTCAGATTCTCAAAGTCTGAACCAACACCAACCTCTTAGTCATGTAGAAGTGGACTTCCTTCTGGCCTCTCATGAGCTGACATTCCGCAGGACATGGTCAACAACAGAGGCCCCCTCAATAGAGCTGGAGTCACAGGTAAATGTGAGCCGAGTTACATGAGTGTGAAGAACCAAACACAGGTCTTAATCACAGAATCATATCTCCAGCTCTTCCTCCCACCTTTCTTAATCACTGTAGTCTCTCAAGCATCAAGTTATCCATCATGAAAATCTTTTAACAGGATAGTGATGATGCAAACTAAGTACTTTTGTGTTTAAGCAAAGACGTGAGAACCTTTTCCCGTTGTGAGAAATCATTTTTATCTTCCTTTTAGATAAAGAACAGAACTCATTGGCTTTAATTTTCTATTTTGATTTGTTTTTGAGACAGGATCTCACAATGTAGCCCTGGAGGTCCTGAAACTTTAGATGTCAAACAGGCTGGCCTCAAACTCAAGAGATCTGCCAGCCTCTGCCTCCAGAGTGCTCGGACTAAAGGAGCGCACCACCATGCCAGGTCCTTAGTTGATTTAAAATATTTTCATTTAAAAATGCGGTTAACTATGCAGAAGAACTGCACAGACAGCTAAGAGTTTTTACATACCCTTCAAAAAGTTTCCTCATAAATTAATAGGTAACACACTGTATTCAATTATCAAAATTGAGATAATCATGTCATAGTAGGCTTAAGGTTCTATCTCGACTAAGGCACATTTTTCTTGTTGTTGTTCAAAAAGTGGATCCATGATACTTTACTGCATTCAGCTTGCTTCTTTTTGTAGTCTCATATAACCAGTTTCTGGTTTTCCCTTGTTTATGATCTCAGCATCTCCGCAGAATACTGCTCTGGTATAACTTGGAGGGGGGCGGTTCTCACTATATCACATTGAAGGGACAACTCAACAGGTTTTCTTACAATAATTTCATTTCATCTCTGTTCCACACTGTATTTGTTAAAAGTTAGCCTCTGTGGTCATTTGAACAAACAATGGTCCCCATAAGCTCATGGGGAGCTGCACTATTTGGAAGTATGGCCT